CAGAACGGCAATCTTCAAATGTTCATATCAGAGTCCATTCAAATTTCTTGACAAGGGCTTCCAAAAGCATCCCTCTATTGGGTTCCCCCTCATTTTTCTTTTGTCTTCCAATGCTGGACTCGAGAGTGATGGATTCAGGATTTGCTTTCAGGTATTTTGATAGCTGTTGGCGTGGTTAGAATCAGTGTCAGTTCCCTCTCAAAGGCTTCTAGATAGGGGGAGAAAATCCATCGTTTTAGAACAATAGCTGGTTGTCTCCTTTAGCTACAGGGGGACACCACAGTATTGGAGACCAAGATTTGAAGTCTTACATCTGAGCAGCACTTTCTGATTAGGAACAAAATCATCAATGAGAAATAATTGTCTAAATAACCTTTTATATAAACTTAAGCCTAATGTCTGGGAAGTGTAATTCCTTGTACTCTTAAAGAAATATACTGATGACTTTACTCTTTGGTTATACTTTCGAGTGTTTAAGACCATACAGTTGGCCCAAATAAACTAATTTTTACACTTGAGGTCATTTGAGGATCTCTTCCTCAGGGGTCACATAAATAAAATATCTTTTAAAAATAATAAGCATTTCTCATTAGAGGTAGTTCCCCCATAGGATAGGTGATACTGTCTAGAATATGTTTAGCTGTCATGAGGAACAGGGGTGGTTTTCTATGTACATTTTGTTAGAATCCAGGGTGTTGCTAATACACAACACTTTGCTTGCTTCTATTACTGTAACAAAATACCCGAGACTGAGTAATATATAAAGAACAGAAGTTCATTGCTCAAGGTTAAATATAATGGGAAGTTCAAGAGCATGGAGCTGGCATCAGCTCAGCATATAGTAAAGGCCTTCCTTCTTGCTTCATGGTAACAGGGTAGAGCTCATCAAATGATAAAACAGAACAAGCATGCAGTCTAAGGTCTCTCTTCCTCCTTTTAGAAAGCCAACTAACAATATCATGGGTGAACACACCCTCATGACCTCATCTGACAGTAATGACTTTCTAAGGGATCTGCCTCTGCAAACAAATGATGGGAATTGGGGTATTAGGTTGCCAACACATAAACCAGGTGTGGTGATACATACCTGTAATTCCTGCATTTGAGAGGTAGAGGCAGATAGATCAGGAGTTCAGGGCCAGCCTCACCTACATAGTGAGTTCAAGACAAGCCTGGGCTACATGAGATGGTGTCTCACATAACAAAAAGGTTTGATCCATATGAAATTTGGAGGGATACATTTGACTATACAGAAATCAAAGAATTACCTGCCTTAAAACATCAACTCTGGGGGCTAGGGTGATTGCTCAGCAGTTAAGAGCACTGGCTGCTCTTGCAGAGGACCCAACATGGTGGCTAACAACCATCTGTAACTCCAGTTCCAACAGATCTGATGTCCTCTCTGGCCACTGCATGCATGTGGTACATTTACCATTAGAGTACTGGGATTCAAACTTGGGTCCTCTGCAAAAATAGCCAGTGTTCTTAACTGCTGAGCCACCTCTCCAGCCCCATTGTTTTTGTTTTTAAAAGGGGTCTCATGTATCTCAGGCTAGCCTAGGACTCACTATGTAGCCAAGGGTTACCTTGAACTTCTAATTCTCCAGTGCCCCCCATCAAGTACTGGAATTAAAGCTGTGTTCCCTCACCATTCCTGGTTTATGTGGTGCTAGGGAATAGAACCCAGGGCTTTTCACATACTAGGCAAGCACTCTATTGACTGAGTTATGTCCCCATCCCTGAACTTGGTTTCTAAGGAGAAGTACAAATTCATTGGTAAAGAAATGGTAAATTGGGGCTGGAGAGATAGCTCAGCGGTTAAGAACACTTATTGTTCTTGCAGAAGACCCAGGTTTGAATCCCAGCACCCACATGGCATCTAACAACTGTCCGTAACTCCAGTCCCAGGGGGTCCGACAGCATTGCATGATGCAGGTGCACTTACCTACATGCAGGTAATGTATGCATACACATAAAATAAAAATAAAATTAAAAAAATGATTAATTATTGTGGCAAAACATTCTGAAGTAATGACAGATGTACTGACAAAATATCTAAATTTTTTCTGCAATGTGGTTCACTGGGAGCAGGTTAGTGAAGGTTTGGACAGGAGTTGGTAATTGTGGAAGCTGGTGATGGATAAAAGGTTTGCTGCATTTTAATTGTTTTCTATTTATTGTTTCTTTTAGACAAGTTCTTATTATATGCTGTGCCAACTTCTGATTCTCCTGCCTCAGCCTGTGGAGTGCTGAGATTAATTCAGCTGGATCTTTGTACTTCTGTGTATTCTTGAAATTCTCCACAGAAAAAAATTCAATCAAGCTTTTTTTTCCTTTTTTATTGTGGCAAATTACAGCTAACATAAAAATTGCCATTCTACCCTTTTTTAAGATGAAGAATTCAGTGGGAGTAACTATATTCTCAGTGTTGTTCAGCCCCATGGCTGTTCCTCTGTAGAACTTTCTGTCACCACAAGCAGGAACTCTGTACCATTAAATAAGAAGTCCTTAACTTGGCATGGTGGTGCACGCCTTTACTCCCAGCACTATGGAGGGAGAGGCAGGAGGATCTCTGAATTTGAGGCCAGCTTGCTCTACATAGCAAGTTCCAGGATAGCCAGGGCTACATAGTAAGACCCTTCAAACAAACAAACAAACAAACAAACAAACAGTCCTTCTTCCTCTTCCCAATATTTGATAACTTCTACTTTCTGTCTGTGAATCTGCATCTTCTAGATACCCAGTGTAAGTGGAGTTGCTTGATAATTGGCTTGCTTCACTTAGCCTAATGTTTTCAAGGTTCACCCACATTGTAATAGCAACAAATTTTCCTTTGTGTACATATTTAATGTGGTCCATTCTCTCATTTGTAGGTTTAAATCATTGTTTTTTTCATTACACTTATTCATCTGTGTGTGTGTGCGCACGCATGCGCAGGCACACACTCATGCCATGGTGTGCATATGGAGGTCAGAGAACAACTTGTGGGACAATCAGTTCTCTCCTTCCACTGTGTGGAAGGAACTCAGATCATGAGGATTGGCAGCAATCACATTTACCCACTGATACATCTCACTAACCCCAAATCAATGTTAAAAAATAAATTCTCAGGACTGGAGAGATGGCTCAGTGGTTAAGAGCACTGGCTTGTCTTGCAGAGGACCTGGTTCAATTCCCAGAACTCCACCTGGCAGATAACAATGCTTTATAACTTCAGTTCCAGGGGATCTGATGCCCTCTTCTGACCTCCTTGGGCATTGCATGACACAGGTGCACTTACCTACATGCAGGCAATACATTCATACACATAAAATTTTAAAAAATATTTTTTTTAAAAAAAGAAATTCTCTTGGCCTAAGGGAGGTAGCCCAGAGGGTAAAGTGCTTGTTGAGCAAATGTGAGGACCTGAGCTTGGATCCTGAGAACCCATATGAAGCACCTGTGTTCACAGCCCTCCACAGGGAGATGGGCTGATGAAAACAGAAGAATCTGGGAGCTGAAGACAGCTAGATGGGTGGAGGCAGCAGCAAACCAGAGGCCCTGTCTCAAGGTGGAAGGGAAGAATGGACACCTGTGGTCATCCTCTGACCTTCACATGCATGCCATAGAGCATGCGTGGGTGTGCGCACGCACACACGCACGCACACACGCACACACACAGAACTTTTTAAAAAGGAAATTCTGACCATCTATACTATATCAATATTCTTAGAATAATCATAGGTTATTTAAAACATACTGTACTCCCTATTTTATTTATTTATTTATTTATTTATTTATTTATTTATTTATTTGGCTTTTTGAGGCAGGGTCTCCCTGTAGCGCCAGCTGGTCTGGAACTCACTATGTAGATCAGGCTGGCTTTGAACTCACAAAGATCTGCCTGCCTCTGCCTCCCGAGTGCTGGGATTAAAGGTGTGTGCCACCATGCCCAGCTTGTGCTCTCTGTTTTTGATAATGCTGCTAATACAATAAATTAAGGAAAGCAATTTTTCAGACTGGGAGTTTTTAGTTGTGGAAGAGATTAAAATCTTAACAGATGTTGTTTGCATATTTTATGGACTAGCTAAGAAAAAGCCCAGTGCCAAGAATGGACTCCCTCTTTGAACTGTTGACCAGGGATTTCATAGACCCTGTGACTAAATTTTTTACTTCTGGGAGGTGTGTATGGCTTCTGGCTCCCAGCACGCTCTTCTCATCATCCTTATGACAAATTGAGATAATATTCCTCCAAACTGGGAATATTTTAGGGAATAAAGGAATTTATTGGGCTTACTAACAGAGCATAGGGTGGTGGTGGGGTTACTTGCAAAGATGTGAGCACTCGGGCTTTTTCCCTACATTGCAGCTGAGGCCCCCTGACCCTTTGGTGGTGGTCCAAGATGTCAAAAGCCACCCCCTCTCTTTGGCTCCCCTGTCCCTAAGTCTCCCCCCCCTTCCTCCATGCAGCTAAGGCTAAATGATTGGGTGGGAAGGTTGACTGACTCAAATTAGTTTGAGGTGATTGAAGCAAGCTGGTGAATCCCAGCTAGAGGAAGGCATCCATCCACTGCTTGCCCATCTAGCTTGCCATGCAGAGGACAAGTTCATCCAACAGACCCTTAAACAATACTGGCCATTGCCTCTGCTCTTGGATACTCACCAGAGCTTGAGGATAAGACTTCTATTGCTGAAGACACTGCATACATGAGCTGTAGAATAAACAAGAAGAAATCAAACTAGTATTGACCTTAAAGCTTAATCTCTACTGGCTTGCTTTTATAGTGCTTGAAAGTGCTACACATGCTATCACAAGAGAAAAGTAGTCATCAGCCTTGCCCAACCGTGAATCTTGTGAGTTACAACAACTGGCCTGGCAAAATATGCCCTCTGGAGCAATAGTGGCACAAATGTTATGGAAGTAACCAGCTGATTTGATTTTAAGGTCCGTGCCACAAGATGGAGTCCATAACTGACAATGACATCAGGCCTAGGAACCTGTGGATAGATAGGTCACAGGCCATAAGGGAGAACTTACTACTGTTATTCTGCTAAATGGGCATATATAACACCAGTTCATACTGAATTACTATTTTACCCATAGATTAATACATCTCTCAACTCTCATGAGAGAGGCTTCCTCATACAGTATATGGTGATTTACACAAAGCACCACAACTGGCCAATGTGTAGCGAATAAAAGACTGCAGAATGCTTATCCCTGAATAGGACAGCTAAATAAAATCTCTACCGCCCAAGACTCAAGGATCATTGTGGAACTTGAGTTATGGACAGTTGTCAGCTGCCATGTGGGTTCTGGGAATCAAACCCAGATCTTCTGAAAGAGCAGCCAGTGCTCTTAACTGCTGAGCCATCTCTCTGATAGGTTGAGAATGGGCGGGAGCGAGCGGCGCGGATGGAGAGCAGGAGCGGTTGGATGAAGGCACCGAGACACAGATGGAATTCTCAGTGGGACACAGATCTATTTCGCACGGGGCACCCTTCCCTCGGGAAGGAAAAGATGTCCACGAAGGGAAAGATGGAAGGGAAGGGAAGGGAGAAGGGAGAAGGGGGAAGGGGGAAGGGGGAAGGGAAGGGAGTCAGGGAAAGATGTCTAGGAAAAGATGTCCACGGGTTGTGAGCTGGGACTTTACATATGGGGTTTCCTCTTAGTGGAATCAGGGAGGGGGAAGCAGGTAGAATTAGGGTATGGAATCAGGGAGGGGGAAGCAGGTAGGATTAGGGTGTGGAAGTGTCTTCTTTTCCTCTTAAGAGGAACTCTGCTTATCTTTGGAGGTCAGAGGAAAGGCAGGCTGCTTCTCAGCAGAGTTTGTAGGTCCCTGTTGGGGAGGGGGAGGGGGCTGCTATTGGAACCCTAACACTCTCCAGCCCCCGAAGATTGGTTTTATACTTAGATTTATATAACTGGTTATATGTATATGTTTAAACATGTGGGAAATTTCTTCACTGTCTCAGAACCAAGCAAAAGACTCACCTGTGTTTGAGTTTGTGTTCACTGGGCTGTTAAAGGAAGTGGTTAAAGAGAAGGAGGCAGCTGTCTGTACTGCTCTCGACTCTGCCAACTTAGTTAGAATTCCCTATATCACAAGCTACTGCCTTTTACTACTGAAAGTATTTGTGTGGTTTATAATATTTTTCTTTTGTCTTTTTGAGACAGGGTCTCCCTGTAGCCCCAGCTGACCTGAACTCACTATGTAGACCAGGCTGGCCTCAAACTCACAGAGATCCACCTGCCTCTGTCTCCCGAGTGCTGGGATTAAAGGCGTGTGCCACCACACCCGGCTTCTATTATTATTATTTTTATTTTTATGTGTATGAGTGCACCCATGTCATGCAATGCTGTGGAGGTCAGAAGAGGGCTTTGGATTCCCCTGGAACTGGAGTTAAGGACGGTTTGAAGTCTCCATGTGGGTGCTGGGAATCGAACCTGGGTCCTCTGCAAGAGCAATCAGTGCTCTTAACTGCTGAGCCATCTCTCCAGCCCCTATGTATAATATTTCTAAGAAACATATTTAATACTTCTTTGGGGTTTTTTTTGGTCTTTTTGAGACAAAGTCTCCCTGTAGCTGCAGTTGGCCTAGATTGGCTATTGGAAACCAAGCTGGCCTGGAACTCAGCCTCCCAGGTGCTGGGATTAAAGGCGTGTGCTACCACCCCCGGCTATTTAACACTTCTTTAAAAATCTGAGGAATGTGGTTGCAGGTGTAGCTCAGTGGTAGAACATGCAAGAAGCCCTAGTTTCAATAGTCCCTCAAAGGTATGTAAATATATTTTAGGAAATATGAAATAAACTTACTTTTCCTATTACCGTCATCCTCCTATTTTTAAAAATTTTTATTATTTTTATTTTATGTGTATGAGTGTATTGCCTGCATGTGTGTGAGTGCACTCATGTCATGCAGTGCCCTTGGAGGTCAGAAGAGGATGTCAGATCCCCTGGAATTGAAGTTACAGAGAGTTGTTAGCTGTCACAAGGGTGTTGGGAATTGAACCTGGTATCTTTGTAAGAGCAGCCAGTGCTCTTAACCACTGCTCCATCTCTCCAGCCCCTTCCTCCTTTTTGTTCTGAGGCAAAATTTGCCTAATATAGTATGGACTCTAATTTTTTATTTTTGAATTAAGCATTTTAAAGCATATTAGCCAATGGTGTTTAACATCAACACTCCTTTGCACTCATCAGTTCTATCTAGTTCTAAAATATTTTCATCACTCCAAAAAGAAACTCCCATTAAACAGTCATTTTAATTCCCCCAGTCCCTATGGCAACCACTTTCTATTTCTGGATTAACCTATTCTGTATTCTGGGTATTTCATACAAATGGAATCACAATGTACGTGATATTTTGTATCTGCCCTCTTTTACTTAGAATGATGTTTTTGAGGCTCATCTGTCTTGCATTGTGGATTGTTATTTAATTCATTTTATAGCTGAATAATATACAGTATTGTCTTGATAACTGTAGCTTTGAAGGAAGTTTTTTAAAATGTATTTTATTTTTAATGACATGCATGTGTTTGTGTCTGTGTTTGAGTATATACACATAAGTACAGGTATCTAAGGAGGCCAGAAAAGGGCGTCAGATCCCCCTGGAGCTGGAGTTACAGGTGATTATGAGCTGCCCAATACGAGTTCAGGAACCAAACTCTGGTCCTCCACAGGAGCAGCACCAGCACTGACCCACTAAGCCATCTCTCCAGCCCCCTGATGGAAGCAGAAGTTATAAAGTATCACTTGAAATTTTCTTTTTCAAGATTGTTTAGTTATTTGGACTTCCTTGAAATTCCATGTGAATTTCTGTATTTTCTTTTCCATGTTTGTATTAAAATCCATGGGGGTGGGGGGAGAAAAAACAAAAAGACGGAAAAAGGCTCTTGGGGGATGAGAGGGAATTGCACTGAATCTGTTCACTTTGGGTAGTTTTCCTTTTAAGCAATATCAGGTCCTGCAGTTCATGCACACTGGACGTCTTCCCATTTAGTCAGGCCACTGATTTCTTTCACACATATTCTGTAGTTTCCAGTACACAAATTATGTACTTCCTTGGTTAAATTTATTCCTCAATATTTTATTCTTTTTATTTCTGAACATGTGTATGTGTATGCAGACATGGGTGTGGGTGCCTCAGAGGCCAGAGGAGGGCCTCAGTTCCTCTGGGGCTGGAGTTTATTAGTTGTGAGTCACTCAATGTGGGTGTTGAAAATGGAACTGTAGTCTTTTGCAAGAGCAATAAGTCTTCTTAACCACTGAGCCATTTCTCTGGTCTCCATTTTTTTTGAAAGTGTTTTAAAAATGTATTATTTTTATTTTATGTGTATGTGTGTATTGCCTGAGTGTAGGCAAGTGCACCCGTGTAGTGCAATGCCCTCGGAGGACAGAAGAGGCTGTTGGAGTCCCTGGAACTGGAGTTAGGGACAGTTGTTAGCTGCCATGTGGGTTCTGGGATTCGAACCCGGGTCTTCTGCAAGAACAACCAGTATTCTTAATTGCTGAGCCCTCTCTCCAGCCCCCCAGTCTCCGTTTTATGATTTTTTTTAATTTTATTGTAAATGAGATGGCTTTTCTAATTTTCAAATTTTTCATTGCTAGTATGTTGTCCTTGTATTTTGCAATTCTTGTTGAATTAACTCTACTAGCTTTCGTGATTTAAGATGTGCATTTTCCATCTTCAATGGAACCTCTATACCTAAGACTCATGGAACACAGCAGAATAGGGGGTAGAGGGAATACTAATGCATCTCTCAACTTTCACCGGTGAACCTTCCTCTTGGAACAGAATATGCTTCATACAGAAGGCCACAAACTGGCCAAAGTATAGAGAATAAGAGACTGCAGAGTGTATGTCCCTGAATAGGACTTCTATAATAAACCTCACCCACCCACAGCTCAGAGACCATTGTGGAAGAGGGGACAGAAAGACTGTCAGAGCCAGGGTTGGTGCATGAACCTAAGGAAACAGTCTTCTAGGCCTCTGGGATCTTACTCATATGAACCTACAGCAATGGCGTCAGCATGCACAAGACCCACGCAAACTCATCAGACAAAAACCCAGTATTGAACTGAGGAAATGGGCAGCAGGTCCCAACCTTAGTGGAAGAACTACTGGCAGCTGATCACTGCTGGGTGAGGGAGAGTTGATCTTTAAAGGAGGGACTCTAGGTACATTGACTATATACCAGTGTATGAACTTGCAGTGAGGGACATCTGGGTACAAATGCTTAATCGAATAGGCCTTAATATACATGACAGAATGCATGAAACCCAGGCTATGGGAGGGTACAGATTACAGATGGGGGGGGCATATAAAGATGACTAAGATGTTTTGTATGACGTGCACAAAAATTCAATAAAAATATACATAAAAAAAAAGACGTGTGTTTTGGATTTTGAGAGGGGGTCTTACTCTGTAGTCCATCTTATCCTGTAACTTACTATGCAGCCCAGACTGGTCTTAAACTCATGATTCTCTTGCATCAGTTCTCCCAAGTGTTAGGAATTACAGGCTTGTTCCACCTCACCCAGCAAGATTTCTGTGAACAGAGGTTATTTTTACCTCCTCTTTTCTGATTTGGGGACAAGAAATGGGACTAAGTCATAAGTCTGGGACATACAAATAGTTATGATAGATCCTGTGAAAACAGCAGTAAGTAACAACGTCGCTAAGTATGGATCTAACAGGGGGAAGCAGAGAGTAAGGTGGTCATGTGCAGGGTGCCACGGGAGTTCAGAGCAGAAACAGCCGAGTCAGACGAAGGACCAAGAGAGGCAGAAGAGTTGTTTTCAGTGAGTCGCTGACAGCAAACTCTAGCTGGCAAGAATGCATACATATTAAATTACAAACAACACAGACAATTAGCACTGGGCTGAACAGGCATCCAAGTCAGTTCACACCACAGGAAGGAAATCCTATATGCATTAGACTAGTTGGGAAAGAGGAGGCTGGAATAAGGTCGTTTTGTAAAGTTTAGAAAAAATTGCAGTAATCAGAGAGCAGGAAAGGGGGAATCTCCCGTGAACACAGGGGTCAGGAGAGCATAAGTAGCAAATCTGATGCTTGCAAAGAGATTGGTGCTGAAGATACATGTAGGTCTTGAAGATACATAGGTTAAACTTCGACTGTGTTAAGGGTAAAAACTAGGCCAAGCTGGTCATGGTAGCACACCTTTAATCCCAGCACTCGGGAGGCAGAGATGGGAGGATTTCTGTGAGTTGGAGACTAGTCTGGTCTAACATTGAGAGTTTCAAGTCAGCTAAGGCTATAAGGAGACCCTGTAACAAAAACAACTACAACACCACCACCCCAATCAACCAAACAAACCTAAAAAACCAGGTGAAAGGAGCTGGGCACACCTTTAAACCAAGCACTTTGGAGGCAGAAGCAGGTGGAGCTCTTTTGAGTTCAAAGCCAGCCTGGTCTGGTCTGCATACTGAGTTCCAGACCAACCAGGGCTATGATGAAGTATGAACCTATTTTTAAAAATAAAACAAAAACCCCAAACAAAAAGGTAGGGTAAGGGAGTTGGATGAACAGAAATGTGTGCCACAAGGAATGTGGTCATAGATGGTGAGAGGGGAGCCTCAAGACCACACATCAAGAAAACTGGAAAGTCAGACTCAACTCATGACCAGGTGCTCCTCAAGGCACACCGTGGCTTCCTTTTGCACACTCTGCCCTGGGAATAGGAACATCCTGTAGGAGATGGGCAGGTAGCATTGAGGACACAGAGTACCTACAGTACCTCGGCTTCTGGGTTTCAAGAAACCTGGAGTAGCAGGACAAGCAGGTGCGGAGGACAGGGTTTGGCCAGGCCACAGAGTACTGATGAAGCATATTCATGGAAAATGGTGTACAAAGGCTTTAAGGAAACAATTATGGGAAGGTGGCAATGGCTGGACCTGGACAAGAAAAAACCAGCCACACCTTGTGGACCCCTTGGGTAGATCGCGCCAGCACTTGGCTTAGGCCTCCTCATCTGCACAGGCTGCTCTTCCATGTAGCACCTTACTGTTTTTTGTTTTGACCTTTTTTTAATTTATCCAAAACTGGTCCAGTACACAAATTGCTTTGTAGTCAAAACTGAGCTTGAATTTCTGAGCCTCCTGCCCCCACCTCCCAGGTGCTGGGATTACAAGCATGCACTGCTAAGCCAGGTTTTATGCAGTGCTGGGCATGATACCGAGGGCATCCTGCATGAACTCTTTCAAACTGAGCTACATCCTCAGCCTGTTGAGTTTTCTCCATTGATTTGTATATCCGTTTATGTATTTACCCTGTAGGGGTTTACACCCGGGGCAAGCAGTGTACCTCTGCGCTACATACACTGTTGGTTTTTAGCCGGAGTCATACCTTGTTACCCCGTCTGACCTCCAACACTCGGCGGTTGTTACAGACAGGATAATGCGGTATTTAATGTAACCGATCATGCAAATAGTCTACCAAAGTGGCTGCACCAATTTATATCAATGTACAAACCTATTCAGAGATCTGTCATCACCTCTTAGCACCGCTGCCTGCACGCCCCGCCCCCAGGAGGCTCCGGCCTGTCCCTTCCGACCCCAGGGCCCTGCCTTCCGGCAGCACCTCCTTTCCCAGGGAGAACCGCGGGAGGGGCGGGCGCCCGTGACGTCACTGCCGGCCGGAGCCATCTTGCCGGGATTGCGGCCCGCTTCGGACGCGGCTGCGGCCGTCGAGAGGGCGTGGGGAAGGCTGGGGTGAGGGGGCGCGGCGGCGACGAGGGCGGCGACACTCTCCTCCCCCGGCCTCACCGCGTGGGACGGCGCGAGCGGGTTTCGGAGGGATGTCCGCCTTCTCCGAGGCGGCGCTGGAGAAGAAGCTGTCGGAGCTGAGCAACTCGCAGCAGAGCGTGCAGACCCTGTCGCTGTGGCTCATCCACCACCGCAAGCACTCGCGGCCCATCGTCACCGTGTGGGAGCGGGAGCTGCGCAGAGGTGAGCGGCCGCCGCCGGCGTCGTCCCGCAGGTTCCCGGAGACCGCTCGGGCGCCGCGGCTTCCTGGATCCGGAGCCCGACCCGGCTCCCCTGCGCCCCGTCCCGGCTCCGCACCTCGTGCTCCCGGCTCCCCTGCGCCCACTTCCACAGCTCCCTAGTAACCTGGACCTGGGCTCCAGGCTCCTGTGTGCCCTCCTCCGGCGCATCCCACCCCTGGCACCCCACTTTCCGCCCCTGTTCCCCTCTACCACGCAGCCCGCCCCTGGCCCTCGGCTTTCTACTCCTGCTCCTGGTGTCCCCCGCCTCCAGTCTCCCCGTACCCTTCAACCACGCACCCCAATTGCTGCCCCTGCTCGCGTCCCCGCCACCCCGTCTCCCCTCCTTCACTCTACCCACGCACCCCGCCTGGACCCGGGGCTTTCTGCCTCTGTTCCTCCCGTCCCGCCCGGTCCCCCCCTGCGTCCCCGCCCTTGCTGGGAGCGCTGTCTTGGGGCCGGTGTGCGGGTCCGCCGGGCGGGACCTCGAGTTTATTTAGTACACCGCACCTCTGGCAGAGCTGCGCTTGGTCCATAGCGACTGATAAAGAGTATGAATAATGAAATCCCACGATGTAACAATGAACCGTAGCGAGGGTTTGGGCTTGAAACTCACGCCGTCGCTCTTTTTCGAAGAGGAAAGGAGAAAGCTGTGGGGCTGGGAGTTGTGTCCTTTCCATAATGAAGCGACTTGGGAGCCCGGTGTTGTGGCGCTAGCCTTCATCGCTGCACTCTGGGGACAAGGGCAGGCGGATCTCATCCAGGCCAGTCTGATCTACGTAGGGAGTTCTAGGCCAGCTGGGGCTGCAGGGAGACCCAGCCTCAAAAAAACCCCCAACCAACCCAACAAACAAAAACCAAAAACCAACTTGGTCTTGTAAAACGAGTAGAAGGGTTTCAGTTTTGAGCTGAGAGTCTAAAGACAGGTGACGCAGTGGGAAGACCTTGCCTGGTAGATCTTGAAGGACCAGGCTGCTGATTGCTTTTAGCCTCTGAGGTAGGCACCTCATCTGAAAATGAACGCGGTAGAGGAAGTGACCTAAACCCCTTCCTGCTCTTTATTTGCCTCTATGCAGTCTTTATTTTGCAAAATCTAAAAGTGATCAATATGAACGTTTTTGAACAGATGGCTGTCACTGAACTATGCAAAATCAGTTCACTTCTGCAGTTATCAGAGAACTGGTTTATGTTAGCGCTACTGAAAATGAAAAAGGTATTGACTTAATCTGATTTGCACCTTAATTCCTAATTAAGTGAATAGAGTGGCACTGTTCTTCATTGCTTCAGACATCCAGATTTATGATCAATTATGTTCAGGCTTAAAAAACATTTTTTTATAGCAGGGTGCAGTGGTTCATGCCTTTAATCCTAGCACTTGGGAGGCAGACCCAGGCTGATCTCTGTAAGTTGGAAGCCAGCATGGTCTACAGGTCTTAAGTTCCAGGACACTGAAGACTTCATAGTGAGGCCTTGTTTCAAAAAAAATTTTGTTACACATTTATTATGTATATGTGTGTGTGTATGTGTGCACATGTGCTCCAACATGCAATGTGGAAGTCAGCAACTTGAGGAAGTGGGTTGTCTTGGTCATGTGGGCCCTGGGATCAAACTCAGTCATCAGGTTTGGCAAGGGCCTTTACCTGCTGAGCCACCTGGCATTCGGTCTTCCCTCCCCCACTTCTTTTGAGACAGGTTCTTATTATTTAGTGCTGTCTCCTCTGGAACTCACCATCCTCTTGCCCTAGGCTATCAGAGGTTTGCAAACTGTTATTGGCAAAGTCGATGACTGCTGATCAGTATGAAAGCCAACTGTGTAGGGGCAGCTGTCCAGAGAGGGTACAAACTGACTTGTGTATTTACTTTGTGGTTAAGAAAGCATCAACCCTTAGAAGAATTGAGTTACCGCTCTGACTTTCAGTTTGTTTACCTGTGTATTTGCTCTCAGTGAGAATTTGGGGGTGGGGGTTCTTTTTGAGGCAGGGTCTCCCTGTGGCTGGCCTGGAATTCACTATGTAGACCAGGCTGGCCTTGAACTCACAGAGATCTGCCTGCCTCTGCCTCCTGAGTGCCAGGATTAAAGGTGTGTGCCACTATGGCCCAGCCTCTCAGAATTTCAACTGAGAAGACCAAAAGATTGAGAAACACCAAAAATAAGGTTTAGAAAGTGGCAGTGAATTCTGGGAAGTTGGAAATTGAATTTGCTTCAACATTGTACTGAGTTTCAAAGTCAGCAATAGATGCCTCCTTTCGGGAGGAAAGGAAAGCATTTACAGACACTTGCATTCAATAAAGACTTGATAACGGAGACTAGGAAAGCAAGGGAGAAATAGAAATGTTCTTAGGCTTTTCACACAAACAAACCTGAAAGGCCAGCAATGATGTTAGCAATCAGGAAAAAACAGGCCAGTGAGGTGCCAGTGGTTGGTCAGTTCAGCAAAGTTAAGATGTATGACAAGAATTGCTGAATGAAGAGAAACAGTAACTCAGCACTACTTGCTTGGTGGAAAAGTGGAGGTCAGCTTCATTTCTAGAAGAGAATATGCATTGACCTGACAGCTTTCCTTTCAGGAGTCTGTCCTACAGTTGAGTACAGGGGCACAGCAGAATTGTTCATTGCAGCCTTGTCATAACAAAGGAAACTTCCTTTTGGGGGGTATGTGATGGGGAATGAACCTAGGACCTGCCCATGAATTATCTACTCCATAACCACCTTACATGACCACCCCTTCTCCAATCTACAATACCAGATGCAATGAATGTTTCTTGGTTCACAGTCATTAAGTGATAACCATTATCAATGCTACAGCTGTGTGGTAAGGCAAGGAAACCATTGGGCTACCTTGTCAAGCCCTTAAAAGTGGAAACATTCTGGTAGTTAGAAAATGGCCTTAAGTTGTGTTAGTCATAGTTAGTACTTTAGTGGTCTTCATCTATGAACTAGGCTCAGTGTGTCCAGCCTGCAGTTTATTGCTGCATGTAGCCAGGGATAGCCATGAACGCTGCGCAGCATAAAACTGAACTGAAGATGTTATGCAATTTTTTTTTTTTTTTTTTTTTTTTTTTTTTTTTTTTTGACAGGGTCTCCCTGGCTGTCCTGGAACTTACTTTGTAGACCAGGCTGGCCTTGAACTCACAGAGGTCCTCCTGCCTCTGCCTCCCATGTGCTAGGATCAAAGGTGTGCGCCACTATGCCCAGCTTGTTATGTGATTTTTTGAATGTGATTTTTCTTTTTGATAATTTTATTGCACAGATCTTGAGTATGAAGTTTGTAGGTGATTATGTATTGCAGTGTCACAAGTTGGACACCCCTGATAGAGCCCCTGGTAGAGCCATGTGAAACAGTATAACTGAACTAAGAAGCAACTAGGTCTCAGCTACACAATCAAGGTTTAGTCTGGTTTGCTATTTGGTACAGTTTGACACATGGGAATGCTCCTGTTTATATCCCTCCAGTCAGAATTCACATGTGTGGCCCTGGTTCTGGTGATGCTTACCTATAATTGCAGTGCTTTGGAGGCTGAGGCAGGCAGAGCAGAAATTCAAGTCCAGTCTGGGCTATAGCTAGACCTATTCTCAAAAGGAACAAAAACTCTGTAAAAAGCAATGATTTCCCACTATATTCCAAGACAGTGCTTTGCATAGGAAGAAAAGGAAGAAATGGGATCAGTGCTGTATTTATTTTATTTCTTTTTTTTTTTTCTAGTCTTTTGAGACGGTCTCCCTGTAGCCCCAGCTGTCCTGGAACTCACTATGTAGACCAGGCTGGCATTGAACTCACAGAGATCTGCCTGCCTCTGCCTCCCAAGTGCTGGGACTAAAGGTGTGTGCCGCCATGCCTGGCTCCAGTGCTCTATTTATAGTACTTAATATGTTAAAAAAATACTGGTACAAGCACGTGGGGAAGTGGTAAGATATGCTGTTAGTTAAGCTAGGGGTGCCTTTGCACAATGAAGTGCTTTTAATTAGAAGAAAACGGCATAGAAGTAGATGTTCTGAGTGACATTGAAGATAGTAATGGCGGTGGTGTATACTCTTCTGCATGGGTCTCACGGCGATCTGGCCTATTCTGCCCAGGATCCTAGCATGTGAGGCTGTGTAGGGCCTCGCCTGCTTGTACTCTCCCACTTTCTGCAATATGTCCACTAGCTTCAGGACCCTCATCTCCTGTAGCACAGTGGTAATGGGGTTACTCTAACCTTGATCCTGTGTATATAGCACGGTATGTGGAAAGTAGTCACATGTTATAAAGTAGACAGTGGTCTGCTCTGTGTTTTCCCATTTCAATTTTTAGCTTCTTTATTGAATTTTTGTGATTTTCATACAATATAGTTTGCTGGTGTTTAGATCTTCCCCTATCCACACCTCTCCCACTTCCCCTCGAATTTAACGTACTCTCATATACACAATACGGCCTATAGAGTCTGATTTGTGTCCCTAAATGTCCTTCATTGTGTGTCTATCCACTAAGCCCACCAGAGTCCCTGTCTCTACCTCCTAGCAGCCATCAGTTGTCAAAAACTCCTTAGGTTGGGTTGGGATTTCTTACCCACTTCCCATGTCTATGCTGGGATTTCGTCTGGTTTGAGTTTGCATGGGACTTGTGCATGCTGTCACCATTGCTGTGAGTTCATATGAGTAACTGACCAGCCGTCTGGAGGACTCTGCTTCCCTTTGGTTATCCACCCCCATCCTTCTGCCTCCTCTTCTGCAATGATTCTTGAGCCTTGTGAAGCAGAGGTTTGCAATAGGTGTTCTACTCAGGGAAAAGCTCTCGCAGTCTCTTGATCTCTGTTTTTTTTTTTTGTTTTTTTTTTTTTGGCCTTTTTGAGACAGGGTCTCCCTATAACAGATGACCTAGAACTCACTATGTAGACCAGGCTGGCCTCAATCTCACAGAGATCCTCTTGCCTCTCCTGAGTGCTGGGACTAAAGGCATGCGCAACTACACCCATCTTGAAGGTATTTGTTGAATTCATTATTCACTAATAACTCTTTGATTAGTAAGAGGTGATACTAATAAAATAAGTACTGTTTTGCTTTGTTTGGTTTTGGAAAGAGATACAAAACATTGTTCATTTGCTTAAAAAAAGCATAATATAAATCTTTAAAATGAGATTCTGTTATAAATTGGCAATTAAGATGGTTTCTGTATTTTGTGATACTGTTCTTTTAGAGTTGCAGTTGAACAAGTTTGCACTTTTTGTTTTTATACATAAAAGGATTTATCTTTTCAAACTGAAGGGCTGAAGAAATGGCTCAACAGTTAAGAGCACTTGCTGTTCTTGCAGAGGACCTGGGTTAGGTTTCCAGCACCCACAGAGCCGTCAGTAACTCCAGGGAATCTGAAGCCCTCTGTAGCTCTCTGAGGGGGGCACTATGCACAAAACACTCATAGGCATTTAAAAAAAAGGAAAAAGGAAACAACTCTAGTGTAGAAGAAAAGTTTTAACTGCATCTTTG